GGGCCGGATCCTTGGAGCTGGGGGGGCGGCGCCTGGCCTCCTGCTTCCCCCTCCAGGCCAAATTGGGGCTTAGCTTTCCCTGGCCCTCCCCCTGCACTCCCCAGTTGGAAGAGGGGGTGCCTCCAGCAGGGGAGGAGGAAAGCTGTAAAGGAGGAGGCCCTGGGTGCTGGCTGGCTGGCTCGGTCTCTGGCTAGAAGTGGGAGGCTTGCTAGGGTCTCCTCCGACCCTTGCCCGTCTATTTTTGGTGGTGGTGGTGGTGGTGGTGATCAGGTTTTTTGAGATGGGGTCACGTTCTGTAGTGCGGGCTGGCCTTGAACTCACTGTGTAGCCCAGGCTGGCCTCGAACTCCAAGCGAGATCCTCCTGCCTCAGCCTCCCAAATGTTGGGATGACAGGCCTGCACCGCCACACCTAGCCCTCTGTCTCTCTCTCTCTCTCCCCAGCTCTGTCCTTCCCCCATCTCTCCGAGTGGTTGCTGCCTGTCCCCGGATGGTTGGGCTCATAGCTTTCCCTCTCAGTCTCGCATGGCAATGTCTCAGCTGGACTCCAGGGTCCCTGGCTGTGCAGGGAGGGGGTGGGGCTCGTCTGTCTGTCTGTCTGTCTGTCTCCGCTCTGCACCTCTCCATCCCTGTCTCCCTCGTCTCCTCCTGGCTCGGCCTCCCCACCTCTCTTGTGTCTCTGGCTCCCAGTGTGTCTGCATCTTCCCCTCCCATCCCCTCTCCCGCTCTGCCCCCCATCCCAGATCCTCGGGCACCAGGCTGCCCCTTCCCCTAAGTAGGGGGAGCTGGGCAGGGGCGGCCCCTCACCTGCGCCAGCTCGCCGGTCCCCCTCCCCACCAGCCCGGCTTTATAAAGCAAACCAGCCCTTATATAGAGCGCCCGGCTCCCCGAGGCCGCCTTATATGGCTCGGCGGCTCCGCGCGACTCTGGGGCCGCGCTGGGGGGAGGGGGCGGCGCTGGGTCGGATCCCGCCGCGCCCCCTGCTCCGGCAGAGGGTCCCCGTCCAGGGCGCAGTCCCGGCTCTCGCTCTCTCGCTCTGGGACCCCAGGAAAAGCCACCCCGCCCTCAGTGTTCCTCTCTGTCAAATGGGGCAGGGGCTCCTCCCCGGCGAACCTCTGGGAAGATTCTAGGAGAGGGGGACTTCAGGTCCCTCACCTGGAGACGCGGGTCCCCTCCTGGTGTGTGGGGGGGGGGGAGGTTAGTGCAGGGCCCAGCTCTGCACCTGCCTTGCCGCAGACCCCAGCGACTCGCCTCCCCTTTCTGAGCCTCAGTTTACCCACCCATAGCACGAAGATGGTCTCCCGGTGTCTTCCTAGCTCTGCAGGTAGGAGACCCGCGCCCAGGGTCCCTGAGGCCCATTCCTGCCCTCCCCACCGGCTCTTCCTCCTGGTCTCCCGCACTTTCTCCACCTCCCAGGAATCCCAAATCTCAAGGGCTTCTCAATTTCTTTGTCAGGCTGCAAGAAAAATCAAGTCTTCCCTTTCGTGCCCTGCCAGGAACTCTCGGAGTTGCCAGAGCACTTTCAGGAAACGCAGCGGCATCTTTGTGCAGGGCTGGGTGCCCCCCACTCCGCCCCCCAAAAGTAGCCGAAGGCTCTGGGACTTTCCAAGGGGGAGAAAGACAGTCCCGATCCAACTGCCATCCTCCTCCCCGATCAGGTTCCAGGTCACCTGGGACAGGCGGCAAGGGGTTCAGGGAACCCAAGAGCAGGGCTTCTGGCCGGACAGGGCCTTCTTACCTTGTTCTTGACCTCGGCTGACAGCCCGTAGGCGGGGCCCCGGTTGAAGTGGGCAGAGGACATGCTGGCCCGCCGGCCCTGGCTGGGAGGTGAGGTATCGCTGAGGACTGAGGTGGCAGCAGCTGAGGCTCCGTCTGCACCCTCTTCGCTGCTCACACGTTTTTGAAGCTCCGGAGGCGCCCGGGTCTCCTCCGAGGCCGTCCCATTGGCCTCAGGGGTCTGCCAAGGGGCGGGGCGCCCCAGTTTAGCCACCCCCCTTTCTCCTGATGTCAGGGCCTTGGTATTGGGAGCTGATGGTGTCAGAGTTTCCGCCTGGAGGGGCGGCGTGCGTTATTCTGGGAGGGGGGCTCGATCGGCCTGACCCCGGCTTTCCTCCACTGTCCCCTCCCCCACACTGTCCGCCGGGTCCCTGCGGTGTCCCTGAGTCTCTATCTCTGTGGTCACCAGGCTCCCTGAGGCAGTTGAATTTTAACAAGCTGAATCCTGGGCTTAACTTCAGGCATCACCTCTCTGTATAGCCTTAGGTAAATAAATCCTTTCTCCTCTCTGCTCTGGGCTTCTGTCACCCCATCTGTGAAACGGGCTAAGGATCGCACCTGCCTCATGGAGGTGTTGTGAAGCTCAGAAGGGACAGTGCAGTCGGGCAAGATGGTGCACATCGGTAATCCCAGCTACTCCGGAGGCTGAGGCAGGAGGACTGTAAGTTCAAGGCCAGCCTGGGCAATTTAGTGAAGCCCCGTGTCAAAATAAGAACAAAAAGGCCTGGGGGTGTAGCTCAGTGGAGAATACTTGAGTAGCAAGGCCATGGGTTCCATCCCGAGTACTGAAGAAAACAGAAGAGGAGGAGGAGGAGGAATAGAAAGAGGAGGAGAAGCAGGCAAAGGAGAAATACTGCTCCCAACATTCCCAGCTCAGTGCCTGGCTCGGGAGAGGGATTCAGGCAACAGCACCTGATCTGGCACCTCATTTCTGTCCCCTCCAGCCCCCGTAAGGTCCCGACACAGCAGAGAGCCTGGATCTATCCTCCCCATGCACCTATGGGTCTCCTGAGCCACACAGTGACACTATCAGTGGCCACCCCAGGCCCCTGTCCCAGCCAGGCCACCCTGCAAGCAGCCGCACCTGGCCAGCTCTCACCCCTGGACCACAGGGGTGGACACCATGTCCACATATGTCAAGACCATGACTGCGACACTTGACGCATCAGTGACCTGCCACACACTGGTGATATGTGAAGGAGTGAAATCTGTGAGGTCCATGCCGAGGCACAGCTGTGACGTGCAGGTGTGACAGCCACCTCTCAGACAGCCCTGTTCCAAACCACCAGCGTATATCTACTCAGACCCCACAGCACCCTCAGAAATAGCTGCTGTTATCCACAGGCATGTTACAGATGGGGAAACTAAGGCACAAGTGGGAACGGAGACACAAGGGCACAGAGTCACTTTCCCTAGGGATGTGTCAGCGCTCACCAGTGGCAGCACAGGAGTTGAACTCAAGCCTCTCTCTGCCCCTAATGTTATGAGACTGAGGAAGTTTCTCAACTTTGGCGCTGCTGACAGGCAGAGCTGGATAATTTTTTGTGGTGGGTGGCTGTCCCGGGCCTTGCAGGATTTGAACCAGGATCCCTGGCCTCTACATGCTGGAAGCCAGTAGCACCTCCTATCTTGCCAAACAGAATTGTATACAGACATTGCCAAAATTCTGCTGGCTAGGATGTGGGTGGGTAGGAAAAAGCAGATCACCCGCGCATTTTAGAACCACTGGGCTAAGGCAGTATGCTGAGGACCATCTGAGGGTCCTTATCGGTCCTTATCAGACCTTATCAGCCATGTTAAACTGAAGCTATTTAGACAAAACACAGCAAGGAGGGCCGGGGATTTAGCTCAGTGGTTCCACCGCCTGCCTCGAAAGCGGAAGGACCCGAGTTCGATCCCTGGTACCAAAAAAAAAAAAAAAAAAACCACATCAGGGAAGCTAGCAATTAGCACCTGCTGTATACTAGGTGGTTTTGGATCTGTTATCACATTCCTCACAGCTCTAGGAAGTGGGTTGTATATTGGACACTGAGAGGTGAAACCAGCCGTTCGAGATTCGAAGCTGGAAAAGCCAGGATTCGAACGCGCGAATTCCACGATCCTGCCCCCCACGATCTTGCCCTCCCGCAGCGTGCCGCAGGTCACTACTGAGCATGCGAGGCCCGGCAAGTCTGTCCAGGTCGCGGCCGGCGCCCCCTGGCGGCCCTGGGTGGGCGGGGCCCTGAGAGGCGGGGCCGCCGGTGTCTGGCGGCGGTGACGCCACGCGCTGACTCACTCGGCCCCGGTCTGCAGCTGCTTGGCCATTTATAGAATCCGCGCGGACTCTGAAGTCACAGCCCTGGCACGACGGGGGCGGAGTGGGGAGCTCTGGTCTCGCCCCCCACGGAACAGCCCAGGGCCCCCCTACGCGGCGGCCCTTTTTGGGTCTGCCTTGTCCCTCCGATCCTGGGTCTGTCTCTGTCTCGTCTGTCTCTGCCTGTCTCTCCCGGCCCTCGCGTCTCATCGCCCTCCCTGTCATCTCCCGGTCTCTGTATCAGTTCCAGGCCTCTGGCAGATGAGAGGGAGGCAGAGACAGGACGCTGACCCCCCCCCAACCCCATCACCGCCCACATCCAGACCCCTGCTCAGCCCCTATCTGCCCTTCCCAGACTCTAGCCCTGTGCCTCAGTTTCCCATCTAAGCGAGAAGAGGGGATTTTGTTGAGACAAGGTCAGGCTGGCCTGGAATTAGTGGAGATCCTCCTACCTCAGCCTCCAGAGTGCACATGCACCACCATACCCGGCTGCAGGACGTTCTTGAGAGGAAAATCGGTGCCTTCCCTCAGCCTTCAGGGACTCCTGCTTATCTTGGCAGCCTTTCTCTGCCACTGCCTCCTGGCCTGGTTTCCCTCCCTCATAGCTTCTGTTTCCAAAGTGACCTCGAAGTACCGGCCACAGTACCCAGCACAATCTCACCGAATCCTCACCACCGACCTCTCAGGATGAAAACTCTCAGATTGAACCCATAGCTAAGGAAATGCAAGATCCAGAGAGACCCCTCCTGCTGGGTCACACTGCTCACAGCATTCCTTCCAGATTCTTCTAGATGTGTTCCAAGTTTGTTTCTACCTCAGACCCTTTGCACTGCCACACCCCGTCACCTGGAACACATTTGTTTTGGTTTTTTTGAGACACACACACTACAGAACTTTAATTTTGGACTGAGAGTATAGCTTAGTGCTAGAGCACTTGCCTAGCATGCTCAAGGGTTCAATCCCCAAGACCAAAAATGTCCCCCACATTCTCCTTTTCTTATTGTCTCCTGAGAGCTCACACATGCATTTGCTTATCATCTGTTTCATCCTGTGAGAACAGAAACCCCACAAGGGCAGGGATTAGTTTATTTTGTTCTATTTCCAGAGCCCAGATCGACTGTATACAACAGGCACTCAACTGCTTACCGGGGCAAAGATGTAGCTCAGTGGTAGAGGATGTGCTTAGCATGCATGAGGCCCTGGATTCAATCCCCACCACAAAAAACCAAAACAACAACAACACAAGAAACTTTGTCCACTGAATAAACACAACTAGCTCAGAATAAATGCTATGAAAGTGGGACTCAAATCCACATCTGGCTGCCATGTGGATGCTTGACCACAACCAAAGGAAAGGCAGAATTTCCCAGCACCTTCTGGACCTAGGACAGTAGAGGTGGGGGGAGGACTCTACATTTCTATTTCTCCTCTCCCTGGAAGAGCAATTAGGGTATGGATGAGGGGGTTGAATTCAGGCTGGGCGGGGCGGGGGGTATTCCTGACCATTCTATAGCTCCTACTCCTTTGTCCAAGCACAAGCTTCGCAAGACGATTTGTAGAAAAAACATCTGGCTGGACAGTTTTAGTTTTGTTTGCTTGTTGATGATTTACGACTGGCGATTTAGCTCAGTGGTTTCTCCGCCTGCTGTGCAAGTGCAAGGACCCAAGTTCAATCCCCTGTACCAAAACAAACAAACAAAAAAAGACAGGGTCTTGCTATGTAGCCCAGACCAGCCTTGAACTCACTATGTAGCCCAGGCTGGCCTCAAATTCATAGTGATCCTCCTGCCTCAGCCTCCCGAATGCTGGGATCACAGGCGTGTGCCACCCTGCCCAGCTTGTTATGCCTCTTTTTTGTTCTTGTTGTTATGCCTTGTTGACACCACCTGTAGATCACAGTCTTTCATTAGATTGAGGGTTTGGTTTTTTTTTAAGGGGAAAGGGTTTATTTAGCTCACAGTTTGTAGAGGTTTCAGTCCATAATCAGCTGGCTCCCAGGCAGAGTGGCACATGGCAGCCGGGCATTGCAGAGGAGAAACAGTTCATGGCGGACCAACTGTAGCAAAGCAGCAAGGCCTAGATTGAGGTCTGTGCATGGCTGGGAAGAAGGCCAGAAAGGTGACAGTGTTCCCTTTCAATATATCACAGGAGAACCTTCATGATGTCACCACTAGACTCATCGCTGTGATATTAACCTGCCTCCTGTGGTTAAAAAAGTGATGGTTAAAGTGATGCCGGGATCCTCCACTGTGAAGCTATTTTTAGAGAGTTGTTGTTGTTTTTTCCTACTGGGCCTTCACAATGAGCTACACCCTCTGTACTTTTTAAATTTTTTCTTTAGTTATAGGTCTTGCTAAGTTGCCCAGGCTGCACTCCAACTTGTGATCCTCCTGCCTCAGCTTCCTGGAGTCCTGGGATTACAGGCGAGTACTACCACGCCAGGATTGAGGATTTTTTCTGAGGACTTCGTACTAAATATTGTATACACCTCAGGGCTTCGTTTGTGATACTGTGTTCTGTGCCAATAAATACACAAAATTGGTAAATGCCTGTTTTTAACATCGACCACTTCTGAAAGCATAAATAATAAAAGCCAAAACGACTTCACGAGTAGATATATTGGGAGCTCTCTGAAGGCTGCAACCCGGTCAGCGACCGCACTCCCGCCCACGCAAGCTGTCACCCGCAGCCCGCAAAACACAGAGAACTGCGCCTGCGCGTAGCTGAGCAAACCCGCCAGAGGGCAGTAATGAGCCCAGCCACTGCCCATGTGGCTGTCAATTGGGGGGTGGGGTTGATTGGCTACAGCGCCTCTCAGCTGGGCCAATCACAGGAGTCCTGATCAGGCTGCTATACCGCGTCTGCGCAGAGTTGCCGAGGTGTCCCGAAGGGTATCCTCATCAGTTCAGCTCCCGAACACGAAGAGTAAAGGACTGCAGAGATGAGTTTATAAGGACCGATACCCTCCCCTGGGACCACGGCTACCGCCAAGACCCTGTTCCGTGTGCTAATCCATATAGGTTATTTACAGCCTAAAACTGGGGATCTCTGGATGAGCCCAGGAGACCCCAATCTCACCTCTTTTTAAAAATTATTTATTTAGGGCCGGGGATTTAGCTCAGTGGTTCTGCCGCTTGCCTTGCAAGCGCAAGGACCCGAGTTCGATCCCCGGTACCAAAAAAAAAATTTATTTATTGTCTTTTTGAGGCAGGGTCTGGCTATGTAATCCAGGACGTTCTTGAATTTGCAAGTCTCCCAAGTGCTAGAATTACAGTCGCGCATCACCTCGCCTCCCCCACCCCCTTTTTCTTGTCTTTTTTGTTTGTTTCAGTGTGAGGATTGAACCCAGGGCCTTCACACTGAGCTGCATCCCTGGCCCTTTTTATTTTTTATTTTGAGGCAGCGCCTTGCTAATTTTCCCAGGCAGGTCTTGAACATGTGACCCTCTTGCCTCACTATGTAGAGTAACAGATTACAGCCCTGTACCCAGCTGGTCATTATTTTTGTGGTGCTGGAGATGAAACCCAGGGCCTGGCATGTGCTGGGCAAATGTTCCTCAATTCCTCTACCCCCTGTCCATTGATCGGCTTTGAAAGGGATCCGAGTTGCAGAAACCACAGCCATAAGCACAGCACGCAGCAGCGTCACAGCAAGTTTCAGGAGCTCTACTCAGTTTCAGTTTCGGCTCGGCTGCACTCTAGGACCACCTGTGGCTGGATGTGTTGGTGCACACCTGTGATCCTAGCACTCTGAGAGGCTGAGGCAGGAAGATTGCAAGTTCAAGCCTGACCCAGGCAATTTAGTGAGACCCTGTCTCAAAATAAAAAAGGACTGGGGGAATAGCTCAAAGTGAAGACCCTGGGTTCAACCCTCAGTACTGCACACACATCAAAAAAATTAAAAATGAAGAAAAAGGTAAGGAAAGAAAGAGAATCACCTGTGGACAGGAAAGTAGGAATTGGGGAGAGGAGGATGCCAGTCAGGAAAAAGCAGACCTCCATATGTCCCCATATAAAGAGCCTGGGATTGACAGAGGGTTGCAAGGAGACAGAAGCTAAGCAGGGTTATTCAGCTGGTGTTGGGTTTGCAGAAAGACAGGAAGTCAGTGGCTGTGTGAGTAGTTAGCAGGTCAGAAGATGCCACAGGGAGTTTGCTTGCTTATTTATTTATTTATTTGAGAAAGGGTCTCTCTATGTAGTAGTTCATGCTTCCCTGGATCTCACTATGAAGCCTAGACTGGCCTCAAACTTGCAGCGATCCTCCTGCCTCAGCCTCCTGAGTGCAGGGATGACAGGCATGCACCACCACGCCCAGCTGCTAGAGTTTTGAGAAACTAAAAAGCTCCATATTCTATCACTCCGACATCACAGAGACACACACACAGCCCTGGGGACACCAGCATGTACACACACGATACTTCACAGGACCCTCAGTGTGGGTGGCCAGGGAAGCCAAGCTAGACTCCATGCCCTGCCATTGGGGGAGGGAGGCAGGGGCGCTGACAGCGAATTCCCATAGCAATTGTCCATATTGTTCTCTTATGGCTGTTCTGCATGGGTTAATTCAAAGTTCATAAAACTCTATGAAAGCTAGTGGATGTTGGTGCACACCTCTACGAAGGCCCAACTCCTTGGGAGGCTAATATAGGAAGATCACTGGATTCAGGAGTTCAAACCAGCCCAGGCCACATACCGAGACTGCGGCTCAAGCAAAAGAAAAAGAAAACCTAAAAGCGAACAAAAAACAAACTATACTTGTTAAAAAATATTAAGGGTATTATAACTGGCCCATTTCGAAGGTGACACCATCAGTGTACAGATGGGCTAAGCATTAGCAAAGAATCACGGAGCTGGGTTAATCAGAGTTTGTCTCCTTCACATTACCGCGGTATCCTCGGAGCCCAGAACCGTGGCGCACAGCGAGCCCTCAATAAATGCTTGTCGGGCCAGGGATGTAGCTCAGTGGCGCCCGTGCCTGTCTGGCAAGCTCAAGGTCCTGAGTTCGATTCCCGGTACCAAAAACCAAATCAAAACAACAAATGTGAATAAACTTGGGCCGAGGATTTTTCTCAGTGGCACTGTACCTGCCTTGAAAGTTTTATCCCCGGTACCGGGCGGAAGCTTGTCTCGAACTATGTGGAGTGAATGAATGAACTCATATCCCTTCAACTTTTAATAATTCATCTCTGAATTCCTGGTCAGGTAACTGGGGCCCCTGGCTGGAGTCACGGGGCCCCAACTTCACAGTCAGGAAAAATCCAACCCCTCCTTCCGGTCCTCACTCCACAGTTCCCAGATTTACAGGCCGCCTGCCAGGTTAGGGGCGTGCCTTTTCTCTGAGGAGGCAGGACCAAGGTCATCTCTCCTTTCTATTGGTCATTATGCTCTTGTGGGCGGGACCTGTCGAAACCGGCTTTCTTAATTTGCTGTCTCCCTGGTGGCCCGTGACCCGGAAGCTGTACTGGCTAACATGGTGGCGCCCAGAAGCAAGACAGAACTGGCCTGGGTTGTGCGGCTGGTCCCGTGAGTAGGTAGGGGCGCACGTGGGAAGGTGGACACGAACCTCTGGGAGCTCGGACGTCGCGTTAGGGACCTGAAAGTGTGGGAGGGTGGCCTCAGAGGGACCTGGCTGCAAGATCGAGGCGCTGTGACCTTTTGGGGTGCGAGACAGGGACATTCGGGTAAAGGCTGCCAGCAGTGTGCCTGCTGCCTCGCTGTCGTGATCTCCCGCTTTGCAGGAGGCATAGGTGACTCAGAGAGGGCAAGGCTTTCGCACGAGGTCACACTGCGCGGCTGCAGTGAGGCGGAAATTGGAAGCTGCGCCTCACTGTTTCCTGGCAGCCAGCCCAGGAGCTGTTGGATTACACGTATCTCAGAATGCCGATTATAGGCTTTTTGTAGAAACTTACCACTTATTTGCAGTCATCTGACACTTACTGGGCACCTTAACCGTACACCTGGCGCCGCCCCATCTGCTGAAGATAGCAATGAGAAAGGTAGAAATCTTCCGACTCCTCAGACAGCTGGACATTGAATAAGTCAGAAATAAACGGGTGGCTTCAGATAATGATAGTTGCCAAAAATGCATTAATGAGGATGAGAAAGGTTTTTTTTTTGGTTTGAGATATAGTCTCACTGTATAGTTCAGGCTGGCCTCGAACTCGAGGCAATCCACCTGCCTCACTTTTAGACTGGGAAAATGAGATGATCAGAGAAGAAGTCTCTTTGGAAGAGAAACCTGCAGGTCCAGAGCATCTGTGAGGAGATCGGGAGGGGAAAAGTTCCAGGCAGAGGGAGAAGAAAGTACCAAGGACTTTGAGACCAGAATCAACTTGACTTGTTTCAAAAACAGTGTTGCTGGAGCTGCCCGTGCAAAGCTTGGTTGATGTTCTCAAAGCTCTGGCTCTGGAGGGAGAGCTGACTGGGGTGCAGAAGTGGGAGTCTGGGTAGTCATTCAGGAAAGAGATTGTGGATTGAGGTGGTAGCCTGCGGATGGAGGGGAATGGGTGCATTTGGGATGGACTTGGAAGTACGTACTCACCAGGACTAGTTGAGGGATTGACTGGAGAGGTGAGGAACATGATGGACCTCGAAATAACTTCTAGAGCCAGGCGTGGTGATCCATGCGTGTCATCCCAGCAGTCTAGGAAGCTGAGGCAGGAGGATTGAAAGTCCAAGCTCATTCTGGGCAACTTAGCAAGACCCTGTCTCCAAAAAAAATTTTTTTTCTTTTTAAAGGGCTGGGGAGTAGCTCAGTGTGAAGGCCCTAGGTTCAATCCGCAGTACTGAAAAAAATAAGACTAATAATAATAAAAGAAATAACTTCTAGCTTTGTGGTCTGAACAACTAGAATGGTGGCACAGAAGACAAGTTTAAGCGGGTATCAATGGGGCACAGGTCATCTTGGAGACAGCTAGGTGTGGGTCACAGCAGCAGGTAGGTTTGGGGCTGGAAGCCAGTGTTGGGAGCCATCACCATGCAGCTCATCCTCACGTCTCAGACTAACACATGGGAGCCACCTGCAGCTGTGGCTAAAATGCGGTTCTGAATCTGCTAGTCTGGGTTGGGGCTGAGGTTTTTCGATTCTTATAAGCTCCCAGATGATGCCAGTCCCTGGAACACACTTTGAGAAGCAAAGGTTAATTCTTTTTGGTTTTGTTGAGACAGGTCTCACTATGTAGCCCAGCCTGGCCTTGAACACACTGCAATCCTCCTGCTTCAGCCTCCCTGGGATTACAAACACACAAAATCGCACCCGCTATAAAGGTTAATTCTTAATCTTAGCTGCAAAAAAGTCATTGGAGTGGTTTTTTTTGGTTTTTGGTTTTGGGGGGGTTTTTTTGGTACCAGGGATCGAACTCAGGTCCTTGCACTTGCACAGCAGGTGGTGAAACTACTGAGCTAAATCCCCAGCCCCATTGGAGTGTTTTTTATGGTACCAAGGATTGAACCCAGGGCCTTCATACTGAGGTACATCCCCAGCCCTTTTTTAAAATTTTGCGACAGGGTTTCACTAAGCCACAAAATTTCATAGGCTGGGCTTGAATTTAGAATCTTCCTGCCTCAGCCTCCCAGAAGGCTGGAATTACCGGTGTGCACCACCCATGCTCAGTGGAAAATCTGCCTCTTAACAATATCCCACTATACGGTATTTGCCTGTGCTTTTAAATTTGGAAAACTGCAAACTTTAGAGAAAGAAGTGCATCTCGCTGGTTGGCTGAGAAAGGGAAATCAGGTGTCAGGAAGAAAATGCAGAATGGTGAGTAGGGGCTGGTGGTGGGTGAAGGGACTTACATGTGTCAGATGCTTCTGAGAATCGAGCAAAATGAGACCTCAGACGTAGGCGCATGTCCTTGGGAAGGTGTTGAAGAGGGCACAGGGCATTTACAGTGCTTGGGGCACAGCTGAACCAGTGAGGAAGGAAGGTGCCGCAGTGAGGAGAAGCCTCGTGGGAGCTGTGCTGTGGCAGCGGCAGTGGGCTGGAGGGAGGGAGTTCCGTTCAGAACGGGAGATTTTAGAGAAAGTTGAAATGCTGATAGAAATGATCCACTTCTTGGGAAAAATCTATGGAGAAAGTCATTCAGAGTTGTTGGGGATTAAGTGGGAGTGGGGAGTGAATGTTAATGAATGTAGGGTTTCATTGAGATGATGAAAATGTTCCAAAATGTATGGTGGTGATTGAGCCACTTACTAAAGACCACTGAACTGAGTATTTAAAATGGTGAGTTTTATGGTCTATGAACCATATCTTAATTTTTTAACTGTCCAGATATTTCAATTATGAGACATATTGAGGAAATGGGTATATTTTGATTCATTTTTACATGATAAATTTAAGATAGATTAGAAATACTAAGTGTAAAAAATAAATCATTAATATTAGATCTTAAGGCCGGGCATGGTGGCGCATGCCTGTGATCCTGGCGCTTGGGAGGCTGAGGCGGGAAGATTGCCACAAGTTCGAGGCCAATCTGGACTGCACAGTGGGTTCAAGGCCAGCCTGAACTATGTAGTGAGACCCTATCTCAAAAAAAAAAAATAGATCTTAATATACAAGAAGTTCTACTCAGAAACCATAACATAAAATGATTGATAACTGAGAATATTAAACTGTGACACTTCTGCACGTCAGCATTATAACTGAAATAAATGAAAAGTTGATCAAGAGAAAATATTTGTAGCATATATGACAATGGAGTAATGTCTAGATGGTAGAAACATATTAAAAAGGAACATATAGGGCCGGGGATTTAGCTTAGTGGTTCTACTGCCTGCCTTGCAAGCGCAAGGTCCCAAGTTCGATCCCTGGTACCAAAAAAAAAGGAACATATCAATAGAGAAGTTGCAAAAAGATATGAAACATCTTCTGATTCACATTAGAGAAATACAAATATTCAATAAACATCTGAAATTTTATTTTTAAAATTTTTTTGAAGCAAGGTCTCGCTGTGTGTTTTGGGGTTCCTTGAACTCACTATGTAGCCCAAACTGATGGTGATCATACTGTATCAGCCTCCTGAGTGCTGGGATTATGGGTATGTGCCACCACACCCAGCAAACATCTGAAATTTTATATGCAAGCTCAGTAATAAAAAGTAAACTGCAAAATAAAGCAATCATTAGACAACACTGTATTCTTATCTTCAAAAGGTACTTTATAGAAAGTGTTAGTGAAGTTGTGGAGAAATGGCCACTGACATGGACTGCAGATGCAAGCATAAGTTGGTACATAAATTGAAATTCCTTTTCCAGGAGAAGAATTTGGCAGTATGTTTCAACATGTGCATATTTAAACCTAGGAATCCCATTTCTAAATAAAACCTTAGAAAAAACTGAGCACATGCATCACAGCCAGGCTTATAGCAAAATGCTGGAACCCTCCCAAATGTCTATCTGCAGACAAATGGTTAGAAAAGTTATCCATAGTAATTCTATTCCATAGCCAGCCACCCCCTCCTAGTTATTAGGGAAATTTCAAGGAAGAAGTTCATTTTCTAAACAATACTTAGAGTATAGTCCCATTGACAGAAAGCAAAATGAAACAAAACTGTCCTATACATGTGGAAGTATAACTGTCACTACTTTTAGTAAAGAAACAAGGTTAAGAAGAGCCGAAGGTAACTTCCAGTATTGAATTTACACATCATTGCATTGTTTGAATTTTCATAAAAATTAATATAAGATTTACATAAAAGTATGCTTATTGTTTATGATATACTATTTACAGCTAATTTAAATTTCAATGTAATTCAAAATAAAATCAATGAAGAAAATTTTTTAAAAAAGAAATGATCCACTTCTCAACTCATTCTCTGAGGCTCTTTTACCCTGATACCAAAAAGACACTATAAGAAAACTATGCCCAGGCAGGATGACACACACCTGTCATCCCAGCACTGAGGGGGCTGAGGCAGGAGGATTGCCACAAGTTTGAGGCCAGCCTTGGCTATACAGTGAGTTCAAGGCCAGCCTGCACTACAAAATGAGACCCTGTCTCAAAATAAAATAAATTTAACAAAACTTTTGCCATGGCACATACCTATAATCTCAGCAGTTGGGAGGCTGAGGCAGGAGGATCAAAATAAGTTCCAGGTCAGCTGAGCGACATAGCAAGTACCTATCTCAGAACAAATTCAGGCTGGAGATGTAGCTCAGTGGTAGAGCACTTCCCTAGTATGTACGAGGCCCTGGGTTTAAGCCCGAGCACTAAAATAAATACCTTAATACATAAAATTTATATGGAATTGCAAGTAGTGAAAACAGCCTTGAAAAAGAACAAAGTTGGAAGAGTTACACTTCCAGATTTCAAAACTTCTGGCAAAAGCTGTATTGCAATGAAAATTGTACTGGCACAAGGCTCAACATAGAGGTCAACAGAAGAAAATGGTGACTCAGAAAACCTAATGGTTCATGGTCATTTCATGTTGCCAAGGCGACAGAGCAGGTAAGAATCTTCAGAGATTGTACTGAGATGCCTGGCTGTGCACATGACAGGGGAGCCTACAGTGATGAATGCCAAGTGGGCCCCAGACCTTAATGGAAGAGCTAAAAGCGTAAAACTCTTAGAAGAAAACAAAGCACATCTTCAACAGGCTAGACAGTGGTGTTTTAGATAATAACACCAAAAACATAGCACTAAAGAAAAGATAAATTGGACTTCATCCCTTTAAAAAAATTTTTTTTGGTCCATGAAAAATTTTTAATTTAAATTAAAATTTCATCAAAATTATTTTCTTTGAAACTGGCTGCAAATGAAAACGTCAAGAAAGAAAAAAGGCTGGGTGTGGTGGTCCATGCCACAAGTTCAAGGCCAGCCTGTGCTACATAAAGAGTTCAGCCAGCCTGAATTAGATATGAAGACCCTATCAACAAAACAAACAACCAAAAGGTGTGGCACAGGCATTTGGAGGGTTGAGGCAGATGAATGGCTGGAGTCTAGCCGATGAAGAATAGCCTGGGCAACATAGGAAGACCCTATCTCAAAACTAAAATTAAGAGAGAGGAAAAGGGAAAAGACAACCGACAGAATGGAAGAAAATATTGGCAACTTGTAAGAGTCTAGTATTGCTGGGTAGAGTGGCCTACACCTGTAATCATACCACTCTGGGAAGCTGAGACAGGAGGCTCTCTAGTTTGAGCCCAAACCTGGGCAACTTGGTGACTCAATGAGACCGTGTCTCTTAAGTAAATTTTTTTTTTGGTACCGGGGATCGAACTCGGGTCCTTCTGCTTGCGAAGCAGCTGGCGGAACCACTGACCTAAATCCCTGGCCCCTTAAATAAATTTTTTAAAGTTGGAGGTGTAGGTCATTGCAAAAGCTATGGGTTCAATCTCCAGTGCTGCCCCCCTCAATCTGGTATCCATCCAAAATATAGTAAGACCTCTTGCGGGGGGCATTGAGACAGGGTCTCACTATGTAGTTCAGGCTGGCCTTGAACTTTCTGAGTGCTGGGCTTACAGGTTTGCATCCTGGCAAAAATATTCTAAATTAGGTTGTAGTGATGATCACAGGACTCTGAAAACAAAACAAAAAAACCTGGGGGCTGGAGTGTGGCTCAGGTAGAGCATATGCATAGGTGAGAAAGGCCTGGGGTTCAGTCCCCAGTGTGGGGAGGAAGGCAGGGCCTCGAGGACACCCTCTCTCCCAGGTCACCCCGCCGGCCTTGCCCCGGGGCCACCTGATGCCGCTGATGCGGGGCTGGGGGACCAGGCAAGGCCAGCGCCCACCACTGAACCATGCCCTGCTCCACTGTGTCTAATGCAACCCTATTCAATGTCTGTTTTCAGCACAGTGACACAGCCATCAGCAAATGGCCTGCAGGGCTGCACTGGGCTCAGGGGTGAGCACTTGCCTCCCCTGTGGGAGTCCCTGGCTTCCGTGGCCGGTGTTGCCAAAATAATAAGTTAATTCTCAAAATAGTAAATACCTGTTTTTGGGTTTGGGGCAGGTTGTTTATTTTTTGTTTTATTTTGCTTTTGCAGTGCTGGGAAAAGCCTGGTTACATATGTACTCTACCACTAAGCTAAATCCCCAGATCCTTATTGTTTGCTTTTTGCTTTGGGTACTGGGGATTAAGCCCAGGGCCTTTGCACTGAGCTAGATTCCCAGCCATTTTTTTTTTAATGTTTATTTTGAGACAGGATCTCTCTGAGTCATCAAGTTGTCTAGGCTGGGCTTGAACTCTGGGATCCTCCTGCCTCAGCTTCCCACAGTGCTGGGGTGACAGGCCTGTGCCACCATACCAGGCTCTTTTTTTTTTTTTTAACCAGGCTCTTATTTACATTTTAAAAGATAGTTTATCTGAGAAATAAAAAGGCAACAGAATACTTTATGAGCCTTTTTACCTAATAAAATGGACAACAAATAAATAAGTTTAGGGCCAGGGATGTAGCTCAGTGGCACTGTGCCTGCCTGGCAAGCTCAAGGTCCTGAGTTCGATCCCCAGTGCCAAATAAAGAAATAAATAAGTTTTTTTAAAAAAGTGGTCCAGTAGGGAGGGGCCATCACAGAAGCAGGCTCCTGAAGACAGTGACGGGCTTGGCCCAGCAAATGGGGACCAGTGATGGGCTGTCATCTAAGGCCACCCTGGGGCCCCCCGGGAGCTCGCCCTGCTGTGGGACACACCTGGGCCATTCTGGGCTGACGGTCTCCTGTCCCCACCAGGTGACTGTGGAGCATGAGCCGTGTCCGAGCTGTGCTGCTGGTCCGAAGCCTTGCCAGGGGCCACGCTGCCCTCCTAGGAGCCCCCTTTTCCCAGGTAACCACGGGCTGGGGGGCATTCATGGGTATCTAGAGAAAGGCCTGGGGTTTGCCTTCGTCCCTTCAGAGTCTCCCCATAGGAGCCAGCTCATGTGGGTATGGGGGCTGCACGCCTGTCATACCACTCAGGAGGCTGAGGCAGGAGGATCGAAGTGAGTTCGAATCCAGTCTGGGTTACATAGTGAGACCCTGCCTCAAAAAAGTAAAGCCAACGCAGGGGATGTAGCTCAGCGGCACAGCACCTGCCTTGCAAGCGCAAGGTCCTGAGTTCAATCCCTGGTACCACAAAAATAATAATAATAATCCAGCTGGTCTGTGCTGAGATTCTGTGGAGGCTCATTTGTTTCAAGGGGTCTCGTTACCTGTACAAGCGAGGCTGTCAACTTTGACATTAAGGACCCAGGAGCTAACTGGATTGAGGGATGATGACTTTGAGTCCCTCCTGCCACGCTTGTAAAGATGGATGCAGAAAAATGAACTTCCTTCCTGTACCTGGCCCTTGCCTTACTGTTTTTAATGTCATTTATTTTCTTTTCCTCTTCTTTTGGTGTTGTTTGAGACGGGGGTCTCACTATGTAGCCCAGGCTGGCCTCGAACTTGCAACAATCCTCCTGCCTCAGCCTCCTGTGTCCAGTTCTGGTATTACAAATGTGTGGCCCCTCAATATTCTTTCTCTTTCTCCCTCTCTCACCCTCTCTGTCTGTACAGGGTGTCACCCAGAGGCACTCTACCCCTGCGCTCCGTCCCCAGCCCTCTTTGCTGTCCCGAAACTTAATTTGGAGCTCCTCTTGGCTCACACAAAAGACCCTTCTCCATGCATTTGACAGCTCCAGGGGCTCCATGTCCCAGTTCACAGCCCTTTGCTTCCCCATCTCCTTGCTTGGGGTACCTGGACCATTTCCACTGCCCCAGTGGGGACCTTTGCACAAGTCTTCTTCCCAAGAGTTCCTAAGCTGTGGATCTCAGTTCCCGTTTAGGGCTGGGAGTGGAGCTCTGTGGTACAGTGCTCTTATGGCAGACACAAGGACAGAGCCAGTGGTTCGAGTCCCAGGGATGCAAAAAAAAAAGAAAGGGTAAATTGAATACACCTTTGCAGCGAAGTGTATTGGTGCACACTGGTAATTCCAGTTACTCGGGAGGCTGAGGCAGGAGGATCACAAGTTTGAGCCTAGCCTGGGCAATTTAGCAACCTCCTGGAAGGTGGTTTTACCTCCTGTCCTCGACAATGACTAAGTGTTGTGTCCTCCGCCTGGCAGGGCTGTTTTATCACAGTGTGTCATGGTGTCCAGACCTGGGTTCTGTAGCCCTGGCTGGCCTTGAACTCAAGCAGTTCTCCTGCCTCAGCCTCTGGAGTGCTGGGATGACAGGCCTGCGCTCCGACGTCCGGTTCCCCAATCTTGGGTTTGTAAGCGCAGCACCCCTTCCTCGGAGGGCCTTGGGGCCGCCAGTGCCACCCCTCGCCCAGGAAGAGCAGGCTGGGCAGCCCCTGGAAGCCCCGGATTCTAGCAGCGCCCTCTGTCCCCAGGTGCCCCATCTGGCCCCCCGGAGTCTCCATTGCAACTCCGCCCACCGCACCTCCGAGAAGTCCGTGGTCCCTCATCCGCCTGAGCCTGGGAAGAAGCCTGTGAAGGTCCCCGTGCCCTACGAGGACCTGTTCCAGTTGGCACCAGGTGGGACCCGGGACAAGGCCAGCTTCATGAAGGCCCTGCAGAGCTTTGGGCAGCACAATGTGCGCAAGCGCGGCCATGTGGACTTCATCTACTTCGCGCTGCAAAAGATGCCCGAGTATGGCGTGGAGCGCGACCTGGCTGCCTACAACCTCCTGCTGGACGTCTTTCCCAAGGAGGTCTTCCGGCCACGCAACTTCATCCACACCCTCTTCTTCCACTACCTGCTGCAGCAGGATTGCGGCGTGGCGGTGCTGCACCAGATGGAGAGCAACGGTGAGCTAGCTCCCTTTGCCAGCACTGCTCTGTGGCCGTCTCACCCCTTTCCTCACTCTCCTTTCTTTTTATTTCTTTTGGTTTTTGAGACAGGGTCTTACTACTTAGTTCAGGCTGGCCTTGAAGTCAGTGTGGCCCAGGCTGGCCTCAAACTCGCAGCGATCCTCCTGCCTCAGCCTCCCATGTTCTGGGACTACAGACGTGTGCCACCACACTCAGTTGATATCTTTTTCTGTCTCGCTCTTCCCTGCTTTCCTGGGGTTTTTCCTTTTTAAGTTTCCTCTCTCCCTCTCCCCCTCTCCCTTCTTCTCCCTCTCCCCCTCCCCTCCCTCTTCCCCTCCACCTCCCTCTCTCATATGCTGGGGATGGAACCCAGGGCCTCGACCATTCTAGGCAGGTGCTTTGCCCCCAAGCTTCACTTTGTAATTCTGCCTCACTCTCCTGCCTCCCTGTCCCACCAGCCCATTTCCTGCCCTGAGGCTTTGCCGGTTTCTGCCCAGCGCAGGAGTGATGCCCAACAAGGAGACAGAGTTCCTGCTGTTGCAGATCTTCGGCCGCCAAAGCTACCCTATGCTCAAGTACATGCGCATGCACCTGTGGTTCACGCGCTTCCTGAACATCAACCCCTTCCCGGTGCCCCGCGATCTACCCCAGGACGCCGTGGAGCTGGCCACACTTGGCCTGCAGCACATGGAGCCGGACCTCAGCGCCAGGGTCACCGTGTACCAGGTACCCGCTCCTGTCCACGCCTGCAGTGCCCTCCCACCACGCTCCTTGGTCCCCTCCACCCACCGAAGTGAGGGTGCTAAAGGAGCCCGGTCCCCGCGGAGCCCTCTGGTAGATTCCTGCAGCCCTGTTCCCCACCAGAGCTCCATGTTGTCTGCACTTCGGCTGCTATTAGTGCATTTGGCGTTGCCATGACAAAGTCTCTGAGGCCAAGACTTTATCAAGAGAAGAGATTTAGCTGGGCCTGGGGCTACACATCTGTGGAACGTGTCCATAATCCCAGCACCTGGGAGGTTGAGCCAGGAGGGTCGAGACCAGATCTCCCAAGAGTTCAAGGCCAGCCTGAGCTACATAATGAGACCCTGTCTGGAAAAACCAAAAAACAAAACACTGTTATTTGATTCTTGGATTCTTGGGTCTCCTTCCTGAGATATCTGTGGTGTGAAATTATTATATATATATATATATATATATTTTTTTTTTCAAAGCACTGGATGCTTATTCTGTGCTAGCCATTGTTCTAAATGCTTTAGTGTCGCCTGACGTAAGGGCTATTATTGTCCTCATTTTACAACTGGAGAAACTGAGACATGCAGGTACAGTGACTTGGCCAAGGTACATAGACTGACAGCCAGGATTTTCTTTGTTTTTAAGACAGGGACTCACTATGTAGTTCAGGCTAGTCTCAAACTTGTGGCGATCCTTCTGCCTCAGCCTCCTGAGTGCTGCGATTACATGTGTGCACCAGCATGCCTGGCTTACCAGCCAGGATGTTAATGTAGAGGGCTGGCTCCAGGGTTCCCTCAGTGTGAGCATCTTAAATGTTGGTGGCTTTGGCCAAATTGGACAGAAAGGAGAGGATGGGTTTCAGTGACATGTAGGGGACCCAGGAAAGGTCTCTGGGTTTGCAGGTGTCCCTGTCCGTCCCCCTCTCCCTTGCTCCCCTGTAGGAGCTGAGGGTCACAAACTTCTTCCACTTTTCCTCACAGAGGCCTCTGCCCGATGACAAGACAGATCCAGGGGATCCCACCAAGCCTCACATCGTGGGTGAGCTCTGCCCCGCCCTGGGCAGCCAGGCCTCTGAACTGTGCCCCCAGGTCGGGTGTCAGCACACACACACACACACATACACGTGTCTCCACCCCAGGAATCCAGAGTCCTGATCAACAGGAAGCCCTGGCCCGCCACAACCCAGCCCGGCCTCTCTTTGTGGAGGGACCCTTCTCCCTGTGGCTGCGCAACAAGTGTGTCTATTACCATATCCTCAGGGCTGACCTGCTGCCCCCTGAAGAGCAGGTAAGAGCCCAACGCCCACATCGGGTATGGGAGTGGCGGTGCTGCCCTGACAACTCATGCAACAGGCTGGGGTGGAGAGAGGCTGCCAGACCCTGGCCCCTGACCCTGCCTGCTCTGTGTTCCTTGAGGCAGGAAGTGGAGGAGATCCCGGAGGAGTGGAACCTCTACTACCCGATGAAGCTGGACCTGGACTATGCAAGGAGTGGTTGGGATGACTATGAGTTTGACATCGATGAAGGTAAAAAGCAGACATGCACGACTCGAGGTCGCACAGGATGTGTTACGTCCTCCGGGGTCCTGGGCTGAGACACCCATTTGCCCAGTTTACAGGGACCCACATGTCCTGCACCCCAGGCTTGCTCCTTCCCTATCCCCCACACCTTACAGAGCACCTCTGTGCTGACTGCTGGGTGTGACCAGGACAGGCCCCGCCCTTAGGGTGGGTGGGGAGGCAGGCAGCGGGCAGTGTAGGCAGAAGGCACAGCTATAGGCAGGAGACAGTGCTGGGAAAAGAAAGAGTAACGCAAAGGGCGTGAGCAAAGGGAGCCACCGCTCCCATTGGACAAACCTCTCTCCCCACAGTGGAGGAAGGCCCAGTCCTCGCCATGTGTGTGGCAGGTGCCCATGACCAGGAGACGCTAGCCAAGTGGATCCAAGGCCTGCAGGAGACCAACCCAGCCCTGGCCCGCATCCCCGTGGTCTTCCGGCTGGCTGCGTCCACTGGGGAGCTCCTGACGGCCTCAGGACCAGAGGATCTACGCCAGTCCCAGCGTGAGGAAGACGATGACCACCTGCAGCGACAGCAGCAGGGCCAGAGCTGAGTCTGCGTGTGCTGTGGCCCAAGAAGGCTATGGACTGCTGTGAAAGCGCGAGACGGCCTTTGCGTGCACAGCCAATAAAATGTTTCCGCCTCGGGGTTGCCTTCCCTCCTCTGTAGCTATGTGGCATCCCCTCCCCAGGATCTTGGAGAACCGCCATTGGGTTCCTCCCACTCCTCAGGGGCTACGGGCTGTTCTGTTCTGGTGCTGGGCATAAGCTTTATGCCTTCTCTCTAAGCGAAGTTAGAAAGTTTAACAAAACGAAGTTGACGGAGAGGAGAGTACGTTCGCACGCACGCGCAGCTTCGGCTCCCCAGTCTCCTTTTGGCGCCGCGGGGCAGTGAGAGTCCGTGAGAAATTTCCCGACGGCGCGGAAGATGCGCGCCACTTCCGGTCGGGCTCCTAACAACGGGGGAGGTGGGTAACCAGGGTGGGGGGGATGGCGGAGCGGGCGCCGGAGCCCGAGGCGGAGGCGGAGGCTGAGGCTGAGTCGGGCGCAGGCGGGGAGGCGGTGGCCGAGGAGGGCGCGGCAGGTCGCAAGGCGCGGGGCCGGCCGCGGCTCACGGAGTCAGACCGGGCCCGGCGGCGGCTTGAGTCCCGGAAGAAGTACGACGTGCGGCGCGTGTACCTGGGCGAGGCGCACGGGCCCTGGGTGGACCTGCGGCGCCGCAGCGGCTGGAGCGACGCCAAGCTCGCCGCCTACCTCATCTCGCTGGAGCGCGGCCAGCGTAGCGGCCGCCATGGGTGAGGGGGCCCGGCCGGAGGGAGGGAGGGAGCCGGCGAGGAAGGAGACGCCCCCATCCCCCCCCCCCGCTGGCCGCGGCTACTCTCACCCGCACAAAGTCCCGCCCCCAGCACCTGTGAGCCCCGCCCAGTGGCTGGCTGGGGGCCTGGGTCCCCCGGGCTGCCGGCCCCCGGACGCGCCTGGCTTGCGGCTCCGCCTCCCATCGCTTCTGTCCCCAATCCTAGGCTGCACGTTGTCTCGATCCGCCCACTGGGCGCCCGCCGGAGCTCTGGCTGCCCAATTCTGGGGCTGGCCCCACCTCCGGGCGTTCTAACTACCCAATCCCGGGAAGCCCGCCCCCTGGGCCTGACTCCTGACTCCTGCTCCAGGTTCCCTCAAGTCTCACCCCCTAAAACCCCGTACCTGGCCTAGGACTCTGGACACTCATGCCAGCCCCTCAGGAGGTGCTGGTACCCACAAGGAACTGCGTATGGCCCCATCTCCACCTTAGGCACCACACGCGGGGATCCCTGCACTTCCTGGCTCCTGAGGAGCGCAGGGAGACTCAGGTGCAGAGGAAGCCCTGAGGTAGGTGGAGGCAGAGGATTGGAAATCTCAGCCTTGAGAGGGAGCGGTGTGGATGGAGTTTTTTATTTCCTGCTTTTTTCTTTTCTTTTTGAGATAGGGTCTTGCTATGTAGCCCAGGCTGGCCTCGACCTCCTAGCCAACCTCTTGCCGCAGCCTCCTCAGTGCTGGGGTTATAGGCGTGCACCACCTACCACGCCCAGCTTTTCTCCAGTTTTGTGTGTGTTTGAACTTTTCTTTTTACATTATTTTTTTTTTTCTGGGGATGGAAACCAGGGCCTTGCACATGCTAGGCAAACACTCTACCACTGAGCTACACCCACAGTCCAACATTTAAAATGCTTAACCGAAAAAAAAAAGTCAAAACAATCATCTAAACTCTTACACTGACGCTACTGGGGGCCAGGTGGGGACTGGAAGGCCAGAAGGAAGGTAACCCCTAGAGGAAGGTGCATTAGGATCTTAGGTGCTCCAGGTAGGAAACAGGCACAGGCAGGGATGTTGCTTGCCTAGGGTCATGGAGCCTGCAGCTGCTGCAATGTGGATGTGGAAGAGGAAGGAGGAAGAGGCAGGCCAGGTGGGGTGGCAGGAAAGAAAGGGCGGCCCCACAGCACCTGCTGTCAGTGTGCAGCCAGGGCTGGGGACACTGGGCGCCCCCACCTTGTCCTGGGCCCCGAGGTCTGGAGCGCAGGTCTCCCCCATCTGGGCTCCGAGAGGCCAGGCTCGGCCAGCACTTGGAGGTTCCCGCCGCTGCAAACCAAGTGCCTGGGATGTAGTGGTTTGAAGCTCCCCCCAGGCTACTCTGCTGTTTCTGCGGCTCAGGAGCCGACATAGTTACAGGGAGTCCTTCGCCCCAGCTCCACAAGGCTGAAATCCTGGTATCAGCTACTGGGTCTTCAGATCGAAATCCTTGGGCACGAGACTCCTTTCCATAAAGAGTGTGTTTGGACAGGAGTAACACACATCCTCCCAGACACTATTTATTTGGTGTTTTGAGACGGGGTCTCGCTATGTAGTTCAGGCTGGCCTTGAACTTGTAGTGATCCCCCTGCCTCAGCCTCCTGAGTGCTGGGATGCAGACATGTGCCACCATGCCTGGCTTTTTCCAGAGACTTTAAATCATTTCTAGGCAGCTTAGAATTCCTGATGCAGCATAAACACTGTGCACATACTTGTTCTGTGTTGTTTAGGGAATGATGCCAGAGAATAAAATTCTGCAGGCATCCAGTACAGGCATAGATTTTTCCAAATACTTCCCATGTCCGGTTAGTTGGACCTGAGGGTGCAGAACCAGAGGGCTGAACGTGCAGGGCACGTGTTCCAAGGGTTGGGGACCGGGGGTGCTGCTTAGAATTCTGCCTGCTGCACCGACTGACTCCAGTTCTCCTTCCTGACTTCTGTACTCCCTGGCCAGGGGACCCCAGAACAGCAGCCTCACCATTCTGAGCCTCAGTTTCCCCTCTAAGTGATGGTACCCTACCTCTCTCCAACAGCAGGTGACTGACAGGGACAGCCCGAGCCAAAGGCCAGCTGACATACTGCTGGCTGGCAGGGTGGGGAACGGGGGCAGATAAATAAAAAAGAAGTGTGCTGGAACACACTTGTAATTCCAGCCCTCAGGAGGCTGAGGCAGGAAGATCACCACAAGTTCCAGGCCAGCCTGAACTACATAGTGAGACCCCATCTCAAAAAGACAACAAGAGGGCCAGGGATTTAGCTCAGTGGTTCCGGCACCTGCCTTGCAAGCGCAAGGTTCCGAGTTCGATCCCCGGTACCCCCCCCAAAAAAAATAAAAAAGACAAGATAGAATTCTACCCTGGGGCAGATGAGTTGCTGTCGTTGCTCCACAGGGCCCAGCCTTGGCCACACACCGATCCTCACCACCTCTCTCTGTTGCAGGAAGCCTTGGGAGCAGGTCCCCAAAAAGCCAAAGCGCAAGAAAAGTAAGTGGAGGCTCAGGTTTAGGGGGGTGGGCAGAGTGGGTGGCAGGGTGGCCAAGTCAGTAAAGAAGCCAGTGTCCAGAGAGCCAGTGTCACGTGTCTCTGCCCCAGGCCACTGTTGGGAGGCGACAGAGCCAGGCTCCAGCTCCGGGGCTGCACGTCTGTCCCCTCAGCTTCTCCTGCGAGAGCCAGCAGGGGCACAGTGTGGCTCTGACCCCTGGGACCATGAGTCTCAGCCTCATCCTGCCTGGTGGAGCCACTGGTTCCCTGAGAGCTGCCCGGTGGCCATGAGCCTCCTTACCATCCTCTGGATGCAGAGACTGGGCTGAGAAATAAAGGCGCTAGGCAGTGCCAGGCTGGAGGGCAGCTGCTTGAGACGTCCCTGGCACCCCATGGAAGACCCTGCTGGGCCCCTCCTCTTCCTCCTCTCCCTCCCCCAAGTATACGGCTCGAACCTCCCTCCCAAGGGGCCGGACCCATCACAGTCACAGGGCCACCTCTTGGCACTCAGTGTGTGCCCAGCTCTGTCCCTGTCTTCCCTCCTGCCTGCCTCCCCAGAAGCCCTGGACAGATCCTGCCTGCCCCTTCCCCCCAGAGGCAGCTGAGGCTCAGGGAAGTTGAGTCACTTACCTGAGGCACCCAGCTAGGAAGGTGCAGAGCCGAGATTTGAACCCAGACGCCTGAGCCCTCCATCCCCCACTCCTCACTGCTGCCTCCCATCCCACACAAGAGGGCCCAGCCCTGCGGAGGCCCTGGGGGGAACCAAACCAATCAACACCCCTGCCTTCAAGGATCCAAAGTGCTAGGGGCAGAGGAGACCCACTGGAACAAATAGGCACAGACAAAATGCTGCCAGTAGCATGAGGGCCTTAGGCTCTGTGACCTCAGTACTTAGGAGGCTGAGGCAGGAGGTTCACTGCAAGTTCAAGGCCAGCCTGAACTACGTAGTGAGGCCCAGTCTCAAAAACCAAAACAGTAACAGCTAACAATTACCGTGCATCTCCTCAGTGCTGGGCTCCACTGTTGAGCTTATGTCGCAGTGAACTCCCTGGCAGTCCCTGCTGTCTCCAGGGTGTCTCACCGCTCTGAGCCTCGGTCTCCCTTGAGCTGGTGCAGGGCTTGGATCAGGGCACTCAGGTGCTGTGTCCTCAGGGCGGCGCCGCAATGTGAACTGCCTGAAGAATGTGGTCATCTGGTACGAGGACCACAAGCACCGCTGTCCCTATGAGCCGCACCTGGTGGAGCTGGACCCCACCTTCGGCCTCTACACCACAGCCGTGTGGCAGTGCGAGGCTGGCCACCGCTACTTCCAGGACCTGCACTCACCCCTGAAGCCCCTCAGCGACTCAGACCCCGACAGTGAAAAAGGTGGGTTCAAGGGACACGAGGGTCTGAGCTGCCCGCCCGCATCACAGACGTGACAGCAGCTAGGGTGACAGGAGCCCTCAGGAAACCTGAGCGGGACAGGCGGGTCCCATCATACCACCCGGGTGCTGGGTGCAGGCTTGGCAAGGCAGACGCTGGCCCATTGCCTCTGATACCATTTTTCTGTGCTCTTTTCTCTGTTTTCTTTTTATTGGTCTGGTTTTTGAGACAAGTTCTTGCTGTGTAGTCCAGGCTGGTCTTGAATTCACTATGCGGCGCAGGCTGGCCTCAAACTCCGTCATCCTCCTGCCTCAGCCTTCAGAGTGCTGGGATGACAGGCGTGCATCACCACACCTGGCTTTTCCTGGCCCTATTTATATTTTCTCCAGCTCTCACTCATGTCTCATTCTCGCTCTTTCCCTCTGTCTTTTTTCTCTTCCGCCTCTCTTGCGTGAGCTGAGCCCCCTTCCTGTACCTCGGGCTCTCTTTCTCCTGCTCCCCTCCTCCCACTGTCCCTGTGCCTTTCCCTTCCATAGCCCACTCCGGTCACACGGGGCCAACTGCCAATCAAGGAGCAGAGGGACGCAGTGCAGTGACCAAGGTGCAGTAGGCCCCGGGCAGCAGAGGGGCCCCCTTGGCGGCAGGAGGCTGCTGCTGGCTGGGGGCTGGCATGGCTGAGAGAGGAGTGTGGGTGCCCTGCTGCCAGGTGACCTGCTGGGCTCGAGGGTGGGCTCAGTCACCAGCCCGAGCCCTCGTTGGCAAGCAGCACAGAGCAGGTGGCATCCCAGCTGGCTGAGGGGAAGCTGGGGGCGAGAGGTGCTCCTGCCCTGCCTGGGCTGGGCTCCCAGCACGCAGGTGTCCTGTGCCGTGAGCAGCACCGCCCCGCACGCCGCTCCCTCCGGCCCCACCCCCAACCCCGTCCTTCCCCACAGCCCTGTCCAGGGCCCGGGAGTGACATGAGGTCAGGCTGGGACCAAGCGGTGCCTGAGGAGGCCTCGCACCCCAGGCCACCCAGGACAGCCACGCCAGCCTGGGCCCTCAGAGTGAGCACTATGGTCTGCTGGCCACATCTGCTAAGCATGGTGGCAAGCAAGTGGCCTTGTCCCTGTCCCAGTCCTGTCCCCTGAGCAGCACTTCCTGACTGCCCTGTGCCTGGGGACCTCTCACCGGGACGGGGGGAGGCCGAGATCGCACTGCTACTTGTCTCTATTTATGTGCGTATGTCCGTGTGTGCGCATGTGTGTGGCACTGAGGGTAGAACCCAGGGCCTCCGCACTGAGCTGCATCCCCACCACCTCCCTCTTATTTTGAGACAGGGTCTTGCTTAGTTACTGAGTTGCCCAGACTGAGCTTAAATTTGTGATCTTCCTGCCTCAGCCTCCCAGAGTGCTGGGATTATAGGAGTGAGTCACTACCAGCTAGGGGTATTTTGGGGTTTATTTGTTTGTTGTTTTCTTTTTTCTTTTTTTTTTTTGGTACCGGGGATTGAACTCGGGACCTTGCGCTTGTGAGGCAGGCGCCGTTATTTGTTTGTTGTGAAGCAGTATCTTGTTATGTAGTCCAGGCTGGTCTCGGGTTTTTTTTTTGGTTTGTTTTTTTTTTTT